AAACTGGGTACTTTAACAGTGACAGAAATGCATTTCTCACAGTTCTGGGGAGGCTGGGAAGTCCGAAAGCAGGGTGTCAGCATGGTTGTGTTCCAGTAAGGACCCTCTTCTGGGTTGCAGACTGCCAGCTTCCTGTTGTTTCCTCACGTTGCAGAAAGCAGAGAGCTCTCTGGGGTCCCTTTTTTAAAGGGCACTAATCATATGACCTAAATCACCTCCCAAAGGCCCCATCTCCTAATACCATCATATTGGGGGTCAGGATTTTAAAATACATTAATTTTGGGGTACACATTCAGTCTGTTGCAGGAACTTTCAATAGTTTAATGCTATTCTACTTGTTATTTGACAATTATAATGTAAACTGTCAGGTGATTCAGTACCCAGAGGTTAGTAGACATGCCTTACTGTCCTAGGTCCTCATACGCTGAGATATGTGGAGCTAGCTTTTTTTCATGGACCAGAATGGGAGTTTCTGGGAAGAGGTGAGAGGTGGTCCTAAACCTTTAGGTAGTCCGGGATACTAGAGCTGCCCAGGTGAACCAGAACTATTCTTAATTGGATTTGCCTTTTTAAAATTAAACTACTGTAGAATCTTTAGAAATATCTAGGAAACTTTTGAGAACCAGGGAATGTTTTTGGCTTATAGTTCTGGTTTAGTATGTGACTTTTATTTTTTACTGTGTTATAATTGTTTGCATTTCTAGAAGTTCTCTTAAACATCAAATAGTTGATGTTTAAGAGGGCAGCTAGCTTTTAATGCTTCCAGAAAAGTGACCATTTTAATGTTAAATATTAATAACATTTTCACTACTTATCTATGGTAATAAGCCTTTGATTTTGATTTATACCTATTCTGTAATATTATTTTGTCCATTTATCTCATTTCCCTTGAAACTGGCTTAATCCTACTTTAAGGTATGAGAAAAAGAAATACTTCGTGTAATTTTTTTCAAAGATGTGAAACAAGTCAGATGGAATGTCTGGACTAGTTCAAGTCTTAACTGTTACCTCAGTTGATTTTATAGTTAAAGATAATTATTTATTAAAAGTTGATTTTTATTTATTATAGAGATATAGATGATTTCTTAAATTATGAATTTAAACTAATTATTTTTTCCAAGCAGAATAAAAGTTATTTTTATGAAAATGTATATATGACTTGTGCTAAATAGGAGTGAGGTAGAGTATCGTATATCTTAAGTACTGGAAATTCAGCGAGTGCCCAGTAGTAGTTTAAAATACCAAACTATCTTCTTTCCTAAGCATTGCCTTAATGAGGAAAAATTTGGAGAATGGAAAAAATGTAGACATGTTTCAAACATCAGTTCTTTACATCAAGATCTAAGAGTTGTCTAAATTTGTGCATAGACATATAAATCTTTTTAGCAATGCAGTGAAACTTATCTTTTACTGTAAAATGCCATTAAAAATATAAAGTAACAGTTCATCGGGTCTCCATATTCATCTAGAGATTTTACATGTGGAAAACTTGAATGGAAATTTAGTTTAGGATCCAAAAATAACTTTTCAACAATCTGTGTGGTACATTCAGGTGTTCTGACTTAAGTTTACACATAGCATATGGAGAATTAAGAAAAATTGCCAAGTTTTATCTCAGGTGATATTTATGCAAGTCTATTAATTTGAGCATTATTTCCTCATCTTTTAGAAGGGTATTTATTTTTAAGGAAGATTATAAATCTCCTTCCTCTTTACCCAAACTAAAGAATTTTTTAAAAGGAGGCATAGTTCTTATATCACTTTGCATCCCCTACCCAAATCACTTCTGGAATAGTGTATTTAGTTTTGCATACCATGGTTTTGAAGTGTCATTGATATCCGAGAAAGTGACAATAGCAGTGACAGTTATTGAAAACTTGTCGTGTGAGAAATGGTGGAAATAGGAATGTTTAGCCTAAAAGGAAAGACTTGAAAGTTAAGCCGTCAATTATTTGAAAGATTTTTATATACAAGAAAGTGTATGCTTGCGTGGCATAGCTTCAGAATGTAGAACTTAAATTACTAGATGAGATGTAAAGCCACATACCCACAACCATGTCATTTTTGACAAAGTCAACGATAACAAACAATGGAGAAAGAACTCCCTATTCAATAATGGTGCTACAGTAACTGGCTACCAATATGTAGAATATTGAAACAGAACCCATTCCTTTCACAATTAACTCAAGATAGATTAAAGACTTAAATGTAAAACCTAAAACTATAAAAACCTAGAAGAAACCTTAAGAAATACCATTCTGGACCAGGCGAGGTAGCTCACGCCTGTAATCCCAGTACTTTGGGAGGCCAAGGCGGGTGGATCAGAAGTTCAAGAGATAGAGATCATCCTGACCAATGTGGTGAAACCCTGATTCTACAAAAATACACAAAATTAGCCAGGTGTGGTGGTGGGCGCCTGTAGTCCCAGCTACTTGGGAGGCTGAGGCAGGAGAATCACTTGAACCCAGGAGACGGAGCTTGCAGTGAGCCAAGATTGTGCCACTGCACTCCAGCCTGATGACAAAGAGGGAGACTCCATCTCAAAAAAAAAAAAAAAAGAAATACCATTCTGGACATTGGCCTTGGCAAATAATTTATGACTAAGTCCCCAAAAGCAATTGCAACCAAAACAAAAAAAGGACCCTTATTAAAGATTCTGCACAGCAAAAGAAATTATTACAAGAATAAACAGACAACCTACCAAATGGGAAAGAATATTCACAAACTATGCATCTGGCAAAGCTCTAATATCCAGAATCTATTAATATAAGGAACTTAAATTTACAAGCGAAAAACAAACAATCCCATTAATAAAGTGGGCAAAAAACATAACAGACACTTCTCAAAAGAAGACATGAAAAAATGTTCAGCATCAGTGAGAAGTGCAAATCAAAACCACAATGAGATACCATCTCATACCAGTCACAATGACTATTATTAAAAAATTTTAAAAAATCAGATGTTGGTGAGATTACAAAGAAAAGAAATGCTTATACACTGCTGGTGGGAATGTAAATTATTTTAGTCACTGTAGAAAGCAGTTTGGAGATTTCTCAAATAACTTAAAACTGAACTACCATTCAACCCAGCAATTCCATTATTGGGTATATACCCAAAGGAAAATAAACCATTCGGCCAAAAAGACACATGCACTTGTATGTTCATTGCAGCATTATTCACAAAAGCAAAGAAATGGAATCAACCTAGATGCCCACCATCTGTGGACTGGATAAAGAAAATGTGGTCATATACACATGGAATACTACACAGCCATAAAAAGAATGAAATCATGTACTTTGCAGCAACATGGATGCAGCAAATTGTCAATTTTAACTCAATACTATATGTTTTATTGTATATTTTGTAATAATATTTTATTTTTGCTATGGTAAAATTTATAAAATAGTTGATAGAAGGATTCCAAATTAAATATTATCTGCTTAAAATATATCCTTAAAGTTATCAAATTTTATTTTTTTCTAAGCAAAGAAGTTTCTCATTTAACAGTATAAACCCTTATCTTAGTATGATTGGTGGGTGGCTGAATTAATGACATTCATAATAATTTGGGGAGTATCATATTTTACATATTTTACAAAAATAGTGCTGCCTTGTTAAATAAAACATTTTCACTATGAAATGAGGTAATTTATTTTGAAAGCTGAAAATGTGCAAGTATATTATTTCCCTGTTTAAATACGATCATTTTTATTGTAAATGTGCCAAATAAATGCCATCTGCCTGATGAAATCAGTGTTACCTTAGGATTCTTTCCAGTGCTTTTTACCATGGAAAGTACTTTGGAGTTTATCAGAACAATAGTCGATTTATACTTAATTAATTGGGTGCTTCTACTAGTTTTAAAGTGAATAAATGAAGAAGTTATATAAAATTATTTTGTGTACATTTTGAGTCCACTTTTATTTGGAAACAATAGTTGAGCTGTGATATGTAGAGACTGAGTCAGTAACATTTGCTATTTGTTGATTTCTAAAATCTGCTCATTTTATAATGGAAAACGATCATTCTAAGGAAAGTATCACCAGGTAGTAAATGCCAGAGTTGGCACTTGAACTTGTTTTCTTTCTCCTAATCCTCTGCATCAGTAAGAGTCCTCCAGAGAAACAAAACCAATAGTATATATATGTGTGCGTGTGTATGTATGTATGTATGTATGTATATGTGTGTATATGTATGTGTGTATACATTTTAAGGAATTGTTCCATGAGATTGTGGAGGCTGGCAAGTCTAAAATCTGCAGTTTGAATCTGAAGACAGTCTGCTGGTAGAATTTCTTCTTCTTCAGGGGAGGTCAGTCTTTTCTAATAAGGTTTTAGCTGATTGGATGAGGCCCATACACATTGTGGAAGGTAATCTGTTTTATTCAGAATCTACTGATTTAAATATTAGTATCATCTAAAAACTACCTTCATGGAAGCATTTAGAATGTTTGATCAAACATCTGGGTACTATGCCTAGCTAGGGTGACACATGAAAATAGCCAATGCATATTCCTAGACCAGTCTCGGGTCTTCTTATCTTAGATTGATTATGTTTTCCAACTCGACTGTGAGTTGTTCAAAGAAGCTGCACTCTATCATGTAGCTTCCTGGACCTTTCCCTATTAGTATGTGTTCTGAATTTCAAAAGGTAAAATGATATATTATGCTTGTTAATTAAGATTATTTTCTCAAATATGGGGATGTTTACGTGTGAAGAGTTTCATATATTGCTTTTCAGAGGAGCTTAATTCTAGCAGATGTTTCTTAGGAATATGACTCTACTATGGTTTCACTTGTAAAAGTTCCTAATACTGACTGGATTAATTGTAGTAATTTAACATTTAAATCTAATTTTAGAAATTGTCAGATCATGTTATTGACCATTCAGTTCTTCCAGAAGGTTCTTGCTTTGTTTTCTTCCCAACTCTGCCATCTTTTATAGTCTTTTAAATTATTGACTATGTTTATTATTTCCTTTCTCCTTCCTTCCATTACCAGAAATTTATTGAGTGTCCACTGCATGCCAGGCACTTTACTAAGCATTGAGATTAGGTAAATAAAGACTTAATTTCTGCATGTGTGGAATTTACAGGTAATATTCAAGTGAACAAAGAAATACATGAGTACTGTTTGTGTTATGAAGGAAATGAACAGAGGACAGTGAGAAACAGTAACAGGGGATTTCCTTTCACAGTGTAGTTAGGTATGTACCTCTGAGGAGGTAATATTTAGGCTGCCAGTTGAAGGATAAGGAAGCAGCTTGTGAAAATCAGGAAAAA